GACGAGAGCGTACCCGTCGCTCCATTGAGGGAGAAGGAGCGGTGAATGTACGCGCCCTGTTCGAACTCAAAGGTCTGCCCGTCATCGACGTAGAGCTCGCCCTGGGCGTTGCTGGCACTGTCGAGGGTGACGACGAGGGTGTATGGATCGTATCGCATTAGGTCGCTGCTGCGGCGGGGGCGGTCTTTGCGGGGGATAATGTGCCCGGCCTGCATGAGGACTGGGATGGTATCCAGCGGGGCCTGGACGGTGTGTGTGCCGTGTCCCTGGTAGGTTTTATAGGTAAAGTAATCGTAGTAAACCTGGTCATCCGGCAAGTACGCCTCGACGCTCGTGGCACCCTCAGTGACGACGGGGTGGACGAGGAGGCCCGTGCCGCCGACGAAGAATTGGTCGTCAATTGCGAAACCGGCCTCGTCGCCGGGGTAGACGAAGTAATGGGGGCGGATGATGGGAGTTCCATTCACGGAGGCCTCGTGGAAGGCGGTGTACCATGCTGGGAGGAGGGAGTAGCGGAGGCGGAGGGCCTGGGTGATAATCTCGGTGTATGGAGTACCGATGAGGTAGGGCTCACGTCTGCGGGTGTCGATGTGGGCGTGCCCGCGGAAGAAGGGGTAGAAGGCACCGGCTTGGTACCAGCGAGTTAGGAGGTCTTTCTCGGGGTTACCGAAGAAGCCGCCGACGTCGGCGCCGGCGAAGGGGAAGCCTGCAATACCGTTGGCGAGGACCATGGGGAAGGAAGCGGCGAGGTGAGACCATTTGGCTTCGTTGTCACCGGTCCACATGGCGCCCAAACGCTGGGAGCCTGCGAAGAAAGAGCGCGTGAGAACGAATGGGCGCTGGGGCGCCTCGGACTTCTCGCGGGTAAGCAGGGCTTGGTAGGTGGCGTTGTGGAAGGTCATGCCGTTGATGTTGTGGAGATCACGGTGCTCCCAGTTGCCGTGATGGAGGTTGTCTTTCGGCATAGTGGTTTCAGGACCGTTGAAGACAGAAGGCTCGTTCATGTCGTTCCAGATGAAGGTGTTGGAGAGACTGCCCTTGAACGCACTGTATTTGAATAGGCCAGTCCACCACTTGATGGCGAGTGGGTTGAAGGCATCAATCCAGTGGGAGGACCCAGGCCAACACCAGCCTTCGTAAATGTCGCCGTCTTTGTTGTGGACCGCCAGATCCTTCTTCTTCATCTCGTCCACGACGTGGTAGCCACCCTCGTTCTTGATGTGGGGGTCAATAATAGCAACAAGTTTTCTTCCATGCTCATCAAGTTGCTCGCCCATGCCAATCGGGTTAGCGAAGGTGTGGGGATCCCAGGTGAAGTATTTCTTTCCGTCGGTGTACTCAATATCAAGCCAGATGACATCGTATGGAATCTTGAACTTGTCCATCTTACGATCAACGTCCTTAACATCATCGTCCGTGACATAATTCCAGCGGCACTGGTGGTATGCGATGGCGAAATCCTGTGGAAGTTGAGTGTATCCGGTAAGCTCACCATATGCCGTTGTGACGTCTGTGGGTGTTGGGCCCAGGAAAACAAACACATCCAAGAGGCCGCCCTCTGAGACCCAGTGTGTCTTGGTATCGGTTTTGGAACCAATGCCCAGGCTCAATGGGTTGTGGGCTTCTGTCTCTTTGATGACATCAACCCACGTCTCGGCACCATTGAGCCAGAAGACACCAACAGTGGAATCCTTCTTATGAGCCTGCATAAAAGGAATAGAGCCATAGAGCGTCATTGGGCTGTCCACAATATACTCGAAGACATCCGCATTGTACATACGGTATGGCTCATCGTAGTTGCCATCGCCTCCCTTCGTCGTCTTCAACGAGAGGGGTCCCGAATGCTCAGGAATACCATAAACGTGGCTATAACCTGGGAATGTGATGTCCAAAGCTACACTCTCCGGTCCACGGGGCTTCGTATCAGTGTTTCCGCCGAACGACTCATCCCACCATGTGGAGTCATCAACTGATCCTTCTACATTCTCTTCAGAAGCCGCCTCCTCTCCCTCCTTCACTTCCTTCACTTCACGCTCAATCTTTGCACGCCAGTGCTCGACATTAATGAGGCCTCTGTCATTGAGCTTGATTTCCGTGACACCGTTTCGCTTGAACTCCATGCGGAATGGGGAATGGCCGATGACAGCTTCGAACTCCTTGTTGGGTCCATATCGAACGGTCGTCGTCTCCTTATTCCTTTCAATAACTTCTGCATCTTTGTTCAACTCTAGCCCTCCAACAAGTGCCCAGTCTGCGGCTTCGTTATAGCGTTCCTTCCTGGCCTTGCTGTTGTGTCTCAACTCAATATCGCCGTTCTTTCGCTTCTCTTCGTCGACCGTAACCCTGGCAGTTCCTGACTGCAAGAATGATATAGTAACGGGCAATTTAACAAATTGACCTTGCGTATCAAGAGCCTTGACTATAACCGCTTGCAGTTGGCCACCAGAGAATGTGATTGTCTCGTCTGCGATCGAGTATGGTGCGACCCACCGATTTCCTTCTTCGGCAGCAGTCGTTGCATATTGTCGGTTTCTCTTGCAAAAGCCTGATTGATCACAGGTCTTGAAATTTTCAGTCTTTACCATGACTACATAGTTGTTAGTAATACTCCAGGCGAAGGGGGGTTCCTGGGAGCTTTACCAGCTGGGGTAAATAGACAACATAACGCTGACAGGAACACAAAGTATGCTGTCCACCGCGAGGACAGCAGTACTGCTGACCGCATTGTAGATATCAATAAAGACTCAACAATTGGCCTGCAATTCGAATTTTATGCAAATAAAAAGAACGTGGTTGTTAAATAGGAGCACTCTCTCTCCCCTTGGTGGACATTTCCAAGCTTAGCTGTCTACTCGGATAACCGTCGTGGTGCCAATGCCAACGACAGCCAAGCTACGTCAATAACTGCCGTGAAATTCAGGCACACATCTTACAATTCGCCAAGCTAAATACCCCACCAACGGGTTGCTCGTGTAGTGGGGGCTATCACACACAGCAAAACCCAAATTATCCCAATGGCCGACTCTAACACATCTAATCCACCTACCGAACCTACCATCTACAAGTTTGTTAGTCCCAAGACTCAAGGTTATCTCAGAGCAGCAGCAAAGCACAGAGCCGAACAAGAAAACTCTCAAACCAACAACATGTCTAACGAGCAGACGTGAGTTCCATTCCCCTTCTTGGCTTACGAAAGAGGGGTAATGTGGCGGTGAGGGGTCAAGCTGACAGTGGGAATAGCTTCATTGCCATCAAGCCCGATGGAGTCCAGGTATGTCATGAAATCCCACGCCTTAATACCCTTCAAACCAGCAGTACTGACTTCTATCACAGCGTGGACTCGTCGGCCCAATCATCAGCCGCTTCGAGGCTCGTGGGTATGTCATAATGCCATCTGTCAACATCAACAGCTTCACTGACGTCTCGTAGTTACAAGCTGGCTGCCATCAAGCTGTGCACTCCTGGCAAGGAGCACCTCGAGAACCACTGTTAGTACCAAACACATACATATCTCTCATGTCTCGACCGTGCTGACAACAACACAGACTCGGATCTCTCCACCAAGCCTTTCTTCGCTGGCCTCGTTGAGTGTATGCTCACCTCGCCTCACACCGCCAATGCCAAACACACTGACAACATATAGACATGAACTCTGGCCCAATCTGCGCCATGGTCTGGGAGGGCCGTGATGCTGTCAAGACCGGCCGCAGTATGTCCCTCATGCCCCTCATCTTGACGCAAACCAGCTAACAAATCTTAGCTCTCCTCGGTGCCACCAACCCCTTGGCATCCGCCCCCGGCACCATCCGCGGTAAGACATCCCCCAAACCCCACCCTTAGATATAGTTTGCAGCAACTGACATCTCATCCAGGCGACTACGCCATCGATGTCGGACGCAACGTCTGCCACGGCTCCGACAGCGTCGAGAACGCCAAGAAGGAGATCGCTCTCTGGTTCAAGCCTGAGGAGGTCATCTCCTGGACCTCGGCCCAGGCCGCTTGGGTCTACGAGAAGTAGATGCGCGATCCCCGTGCTCTGCTTTCCCTAGAAAAGTATAATCTTTCAAATGACCGTTGGACGTAGATAGAACGAATCATGAAAATTATCAAGGGTGCTATGCTGTTCAATATGAGATGTGATAGTGTTATTATGTTATGGTGTAGTTGTTAGTTGTTATGTGTGAGGTTGTTGTTGTTGATGGATTTTATTGAAATTATCTGCGCTTATTATCCGTGCTCGGCGCCTGCCGAGACGCGGCTGTCAGCATGTAAGCTCGGCGAGCTCGGCGACCAACCTTATAATAACCAACTTATCCACTCCAAACCACAAATATCCAAATCATAATAATGATTTCTAGCACCTCACGCAAACCGCCCTGATTATAGCCGTCATAAAATTTACGTCACTCCTCAATTTCCACCAACAATCCCCACAACCCGTGAATTGTGTGTCCTCTTGGCAACTAAATTTATATCACCTCTACGGATCTATCAACTACTTCACCAACATCCAGCGCCAAAAAGAAAAGAAACAATGCGTCCCGCACTCCTCCGCCCTCTCCGTCGCCTCTCCCCCGGCCGCCCCTACACCACCACCAAGCCCCCTTCTCCAACCCCTGCCCCCGCAACCCCACCTGACACATCCACACGCACCCGCCTCAACAAGCTCCTCGACCGGACCCCCAAATTCCTGCACCCCTACACAAACGGTCTCCGCAACGCCCCAGTCAGCCACATCATCTCCTTCCTCATCCTCCACGAGCTAACCGCCATCATCCCTCTCATCGGTCTCAGCGCCGCCTTCCACTATTCAGAGTGGACGCCAGAGTGGATGAGGGAGAGGGGGGAGGAGTATGAGGGGCGGTTTAGGAGGTATTTTGGGCGGAAGGGGTGGTTTGGTGTGGAAGCCGTAGGGGATGGTGGGGTGGCTGCGAGTGGGGTGGATGGGGTTGCGGAGGGGGAGGGGATGAAGGCGGAAGGGGGCGGGGGAGGGGTAAGGATCGTGATGGAAGTTGCGACGGCGTATGCGGTTACGAAGGTCTTGTTGCCGGTAAGGATTGTGGGGAGTGTATGGGCGACGCCGTGGTTTGCGAGGGTGGTTGTGGGGAGGTTTAAGAGGTTGGGGGGACTGGGGAGATAGCTTTGTGGTTTGGGAAGGGGAGGAGGATGGATGTGAACTAGGGCGAAGGGGATTGGGATGAAAGATGTATGTATAGAGGCTACTGCGAAGATCCGCAGTGGATATTGTATAATAGACAGTTGTTTCGGCGAATATATGGGAAGACCGAGAGACAAGGTATTTAGCCAACCAGGTATCAGTAGACGAGGCTGCGAGTCTTCAACTTAAACATGCCTAATATATACTCACAACGCGTATATCATCATAACTCTTGTCGTCACCCCTTAACCCCAAAGTCAAAAACCTATCCCTAAGCACGAATCCCGTAAGCCAAAACACCATGTCTACCAACAAACCCCGTAAAAAGACACCTACGCGTAATGCCTCATCGCGCTCGCCGACTCGTACGTCGACCTTGGAGGAGCAGCCTCTTCAGAATAGCAGTAGCTCGCCGCCACGCAACAGCGAAAAGCAAGTCCATGAGAATATATTTCTTTTCTGGCCAAATATCATCGGTATCCCCCCCTCCCTACC